CCATTCTCAAGTCGATTGTGACCATTCTAATTGACTTGAGAATGGTCCAGGACGGACCGAAACATCGTCGTCCCTTCACCTTCTAGGGTGTGGTTTGGTCAACATAATAGCTTGGATCTGCAGGTAAAAATATAAAATAAACACACTGTCACCTCAAACACACGCACACACACAAAAAAAACACAAAGAAACCAACACATGCACACATACACACAAAAACAAAGAAACAAACAAAAGCCCCCCCAGCCTCCTTAGTTCGTAATCACTTACTATGTTGGCCAAAAACGCATGTTTTCGTATAATTGAACTATCGAAGAGACGTAATATCACGAAAACTTATATCCAAAAAATACGCTAATTAATCCGTTGATCCTGTTTAATCTCTTGGCTTCAAAAGGGCACGAGTAGTCTCCTCCAGCAGCGACCTGTTATACACCTTTAATTAAGCGTGTAAGGTACAATGGGATATTTAACCTCCAGCTTCAATCATTCATTCAGAGATAAATTTAAGCGCGATTTAAATCACTATCAGCTGGGATTGTTGTCATGTTCGTCTGAGTTGAAGGTGACGCAGCTGCATATCGAGGATTGTTTCAAATAAAACGCGAATTAAAGAGATTCTCCTTGTAGAGGGGAATATTTTCTGACTATGACATTGGTGAAAATGACAGAGCTCCATTGTATTCTGACTCCAGACGAAAATGACACGTATTTCCAGAGCGACGAGGGTTAGGAAAGTGATATGATTTCCAAACGAAGATGTCCCAGAAAAATATATTCAAGAATTTTAATTGAGATGCCAGTAAAAATATGCGTTGACGACATGGTAAAAAATATCTCGGTAATTTCAGATTCCTGCTAAATTATACGCGCTTTATACACGTTTTCGACATTTAAAAACCTGTCTTCTGTCCTGTACCGAGCAACGGTAAAGAGGAACTGGTGTTTTGTGGCATGCTGGCCAAAAATTGTCGATAATGAGAGAGAGAGAGAGAGAGAGAGAGAGAGAGAGAGAGAGAGAGAGAGAGAGAGAGAGAGAGAGAGAGAGAGAGAGAGAGAGAGAGAGAGAGAGAGAGAGAGAGAGAGAGAGAGAGAGAGAGAGAGAGAGAGAGAGAGAGAGAGAGAGAGAGAGAGAACTCCTAGACAAGAAATTAAAAATATCCAAAGAAAAACTTGGAGAGAAACATGATCTCAAAAGAAAAAAAAAATATCGTCCAGCCAAGAAGTATAAACCTAGAGTGCCTTTGACAGCTTCTGTGAGTGTCACTTGACTGTCACTTGACTGTGTCACCTGACTGTCCCTTAAATCTGCAACAAAACTTTGCCACATGATTGTGACAAGTGACTGAACTCCTTCACTATGTTGCAAATCAGAGTCACGTGAATATTTCAATGTCCTGTACTCCAATACTATGTTATTTAACTGATTCACTTGACTATGCCCCAGTGTGAAACATATGTAGGAGATGAGAACCTCGTAAAGGAAAATAATTACATAATCTTCTGAAAGATAATGATTCTGAAATCTTAGATTTCTATTCTAATTTTTTTCTATTCGTCTGAAAGATTCTGAAAGTTAATGATAAGAAAATATGAGTGAGTGGTGTTGTGAATAAGAAAGAAATTGCATTGAACTGAGAGAGATTTTACCTTGATGTGAGGCAGATATCTATATGTACTATAGAGCTCTGTGCAAGTATAGGGAAGCTTGGACACGCTCATGCACCCCCCCACAGACGTTGGTAGTGTGTTGAGGAAGGTTGAGGTGTGGCTATGCCATGGGTAGTGTGTCAGTGGTAGTGTTGGTGGCAGTATGAATAAAAACATATTGGCGTGGTGGAGTTGTCAATTAGATGAAGAATGAGGTGTGAAATAATGAAGAGGTATAGCTGTGGTGGGGTGAGATGTTAGTGGTGGTGGTGGTGAAGTGATGGGGTGGTACTTACCTAATAGTTACTATGAGGAAGTGAGGTTTAGATCAACGTGCCCTGCTAACTAGGGAAGTTGTACACGTTGCGTTTAAAATTAACTTTCCTGACGACCGAATTCCTTGCAGAATCTGGGCTTTAAGTTGAAGATAAAGGTTGCTTGCCCCACGTCTTCCCTCAGTGCATCGACGTCCACCGTCTTGACCACCCGCATAGGCTACGAGAATTTTCCTACGCATCTTCTACTCCTTTACTAGGCATATATGAAAGATAATGCAGCTAATTGTGCTATGAAATATACGTGTCACTCAGATATATCTGACACTCCATATGTACCAAGTAGATCCATCGTGAGGAACTAGCCACAAAACTGCTGATTGTGGTCAACCGACACATCAAAAAAGCTGTCAGTCAAACTGTAGGACACGACCACGAACTAGTGAAAACTTAACCTAATCCTGCCTCTCCAATGCTCTACATTTAGCCTCGCTCACAACGAAGAGTTCTGGCTTGTCTGTGTGTATTTTATACAGCGGACAGAGGGCAAATATTCTCCCACATTAGCTTCCCTGCACCTCTCTCCCACCAGAACAATACACCACATACGTGGTGCAACAGGCCTCAACCCAATACTCATTCCCCAGCTCGTTCTGAACAATATCGACGCTCATTACAACTAAAATACACCAGGTTATGGAAATCGTTTTGGCAACAGGTCGGCAACCAAAATATGCAGTCACTGCAGCATTTCAAACACCTCGCAATGGAATGGCTAATATCAGAAAATGAAATTCAGTTTAAAATATTTCCGCACAAATAATTGTACAGAAAAAGCAATTAGGTAACGTGAAAAATAAAATAAGAACAAAAAACCTAAGTTTAATAATAATAATAATAATAATAATAATAATAATAATAATAATAATAATAATAATAATAACAATGAGTTATACAAATGGTTCATTAAGCTTATAAAAGTACTTGTGTGACATTGTTGAATGAGGTGGTTTATTGTGGGTAATTTACGCCACGGACGACAGGCAGACCATTATGTTAATTTGTAATGATTAAAGAATATTTTGTACATTTAACGCGATGTGTGTTGAGAGAGAGAGAGAGAGAGAGAGAGAGAGAGAGAGAGAGAGAGAGAGGGAGGGAGAGACAGAGAGACAGAGAGAGAAGCCGCAACACAGGGTTCTAGACCAGCAGACTGGCAAACAGCGATAAAGTGTGTGTGTGTGTGTGTGTGTGTGTGTGTGTGTGTGTGTGTGTGTGTGTGTGTGTGTGTGTGTGTGTGTGTGTGTGTGTGTATATATATATATATATATATATATATATATATATATATATATATATATATATATATATATATATATATATTTATATATATATTGGATAACCTATTGAACAATAAGCGATTCTTTGTGTAGCTGAACTACGGCGCAACATTTGACAGGAAAGGAATTGTCTTCCAGGAGGGGTGTGGGCCTTGTGCCAGCTGCCGAAACCACGTTTCACAGCTGGCTCATTGAAAATTGTGTAGCAAGGTTGGGTTGGACTGATGGCTCATGTCTGAGAAGAATGATTAGAGAGTTTAGCTTTGTTAAATTGTTATGCACTCCATACCTCTCTAGTGGGTAATAGTGGTCCCCCATACCTATCCTGTGGGCGGTAGTGGGCCCCATACCCATTCGGTGGGCGGTAGTGGGCCCCTTACCCATCCTGTGGGCGGTAGTGGGCCCCTTACCCATTCTGTGGGCGGCAGTGGGCCCCATACCAATCACGTGAGCGGCAGTGAACTCCAGATACCCAATTTGGGAAAGATAGTGGGCGCACTTACGATGTACTCCAAATCAGGTGAGGGGCTCACACTCTCACGAGACACTCATGCTCAGCATTAATAGTCGGCCTGGGAGAGACCTGCTCAGAATATTGGAGAGAACATAAACACAACATAACAGGTTGTGTTATTGCTCTTTTCCGTTTTATCACAGTGTTAAATATTTTACTGCAGAGAGAATGGCCAGACGGAACCTGGCTGGCATTGCTGATTTATTGTTGGCCAGATATATATATATATATATATATATATATATATATATATATATATATATATATATATATATATATATATATATAAATATTATATATATATATATATATATATATATATATAATACATAATAAATGCATAATAAAGCACAAAAAATAAAAAAGGAAGGGGGGTGGTAGGAGAAAAGCACACAGAAACTGTATTGGAGGGGATCTAAACATTCCCTCTAATGCGTTATGCGTGGTTTCCTCCGAGGCTATGGGTCCCCCCTTCTTCCAGCTAGAGGTGGAACTCCCTTCAAAAATATATATATATATATATATATATATATATATATATATATATATATATATATATATATATATATATATATATATATATATATATATATATATATATATATATATATATATATATATATACCCTTTTCACATCCCTCGTAACATCATTGGAGACCTAACGAGAAATATTTTATAGAGAAAATATATAAATATATGACATATCAAGAGAAGAAGATGCGCAGATATCTTGAGGATGTAATATGACTCCAAACTGAGATCCTTGTCAGCTCGAGACCGTCTCTCTAGCAGCCAAGCCAGCACGCTCACAACGAAGAAGGGTCTCAGAAGTACCTATACCGGGTACTCAACTAAAACATCAAACATTCTCAAGATAACAAAAGGCATCGAAAACTCACCAACACATCAATCCCCCCACCAGCGTCCCCTACAGCATCACCACCACCGCATCAACCAACACCACCACCATCACCATTCCCACCAACACCATCACAGCAGGTAGACAGCTGACAGGTCACCACTACCTAGAACAAAATATTTTATAACTTTCCACCCTCTTGATAATACATCACGGCTGAGGTGCCATCTGTGTGGAGATGCCGTCGATGAGGGGATCCTCCTCAGTGAGGTAACTGCCTCAGTGAGGGGGAACTTGTCTAAGTGAAGGGGGGACTTAGCCTCCGTGAGGGGGACACATGTCTCAGTGAAGGTGGCGAGCGAATGACATGCATTGGCCTCATTGCTTATTCGGACACGGCTTCTGGGCAAAATATGTATCATCTCCGACAGCCCGGGCATCGGATATCGGAAACGCGATCAGCGGATTATGAAAATTCTTGTGAGTTTGTAGCCATCCGCTGGAGCTCCGTCCGTCACCGAGCACCCAGGAGCCGAGGGGAGGTCTAGGTCCAGGGGGCTGAGGGGAAGGGGATTATGGCGCAGGGACAGGTGAGAGGGTCTCGGTGAAGGGACTGAAGGGGGGATTGTTTCAAGGGAAGGAGAGAGCCAACAAAGGTGTATTGTTGACGAGAGATATTCCTGCTAGATATAGTCTGTGGATAGGAGAAAGAGGGTTCGACTAGCTGAGGATAGGTGAGAGATACAGAGGTGTTGCTGAGTACATAATATCAACAATTGGGTGGGGAAACTCACATATATTTCTAAGCATTAAAAAATATCGTTCTTGTTTAAATCTTTTTGCTACAAAATCTCAACTTGAAAAGAAATGAGTGAATTAAGCGCACCAATTTCAAATAATATATTTAGCTTTAACGGAATAATGTTAAAACTCACGAATATTAAGAAGTTTCAAACAAATCAAGACGCTATGAAACAAAATAAAATTGTTGTAACTTAGTCCCATGAGACGCGAACCTCTTCTGGAAGTTCACAAGATAGGATTATCATCAATATATGTCCAAGAGTCAAGCAAACACACACACACACACACACACACACACAGGAGGATTTCAACTTTTAAGTTATAAAAAGGAATTGAAATGATGCATATAAGGCCATGACAGAAGGACAGGGTAGAAGTTGGTGACACAAACGAACCGGAGAGACACCAGGAAGTTTTTTGTATTCACGTTAAGAATAGCAAGTCCATGGTCCCGGCCACAAGAAGCATTAAACTAATTCCCTAAAACACCATTACAAGAATTACGACGAGAAACAGAAGGAATGACAATCATTGTACCGACAGCCCGGGAGATGGAAAGGCGTGGCTAGAGAGCTATTGCTCGACCTTATACATCTAGAGGACACAAGATGTATACATACACATGCACACACACAGACTGTCCCCGGGGTTCATAGCTTGCCAAGAATCATAGAGACGAATGTAAAAACGGTTCTTCCGTAGCAGGTTGCAGCGCCAGCCACCAGACAGGATATAGTGGGGGAATAAATTATCGACTTCTGATAACTGCAGAATGGAAACTGCCGGACATATATATTACAAGCGTTACAAGACGCGAAGAGGAAGTCGGCAAACCGTGAGTCAGATAGAGATTAAAGATGAGAGAGAGAGAGAGAGAGAGAGAGAGAGAGAGAGAGAGAGAGAGAGAGAGAGAGAGAGAGAGAGAGAGAGAGAGAGAGAGAGAGAGAGAGAGAGAGAGAGGAAAAGTTATTGAATTGAAATTGATGGAGGGAGTTGTAGGAGGAGGAAATAGGAGCAAGAAGTTGAATGGGGTGATGGAAGTTGAAGGAGTTGAAGAAAGTTGGAGCTGAAAGAGTTGAAGTCGTCGCGGAGAAAGACGACGAACTCAAAGAGCATAAATTGGAAGTCTGGAGCATGAGGTGGGAGGAACAAGTTTGTGGTGTGAGTGTGTGCGCTAACCTGGAGGCCCTCACCTACACTGCCTCAACTGGAGGCCCTTACCTCCATTGCCTCACCTGGAGGCCCTTACCTACACTGCCTCACCTGGAGGCCCTTACCTTCACTGCCTCACCTGAAGGCCGTTACCTAGATAGCCTCACCTACAAGCCCTCACCTGGAGGTGTCTATACCAGGACGAGCCTGGCTTCTGACCCCCGCCTTTCCAACGTTCTTAGATTAATGCTGTGACAGTTGCAACGTGTGCTTTCCGGATCATATTCTCGTATTCTATCTTAGTATTTCTTCTTTAATGTACCTCAGACGTTCACTCTTTCTCGCTCTCTGCCTGTCTGTCTGTCTGTCTGTCTGTCTGTCTGTCTGTCTGTCTGTCTCTCTCTCTCTCTCTCTCTCTCTCTCTCTCTCTCTCTCTCTCTCTCTCTCTCTCTCTCTCTCTCTCTCTCTCTCTCTCTCTCTCTCTCTCTCTCTCTCTCTCTCTCTCTCTCTCTCTCTCTCTCTCTCTCTCTCTCTCTCTCTCTCTCTCTCTCTCTCTCTCTCTCTCCCTCTCTCTCTCTCTCTCTCTCCCTCTCTCTCTCTCTCTCTCTCCCTCTCTCTCTCTCTCTCTCTCTCTCTCTCTCTCTCTCTCTCTCTCTCTCTCTCTCTCTCTCTCTCTCTCTCTCTCTCTCTCTCTCTCCAACGTGAACTCCCACATCGTACTATTGCCAGTCTCTCATTTTGTGACTTCTCTATTTAAGGTTCTTATAGACTCACGTACTCGTGAGCATCGTATTCTTGCTGGGAAAATATTTTCGTGGGCCATTGATCCTACAAAATATCAAGACCCGTCTTCATTTTGGTCGTCCTTGTAATTAAGACAGATTTCTTTTCCTTATGATCCCTCAAGTAATGTCGTCGCTACAAACTATTAATATGAAGCTCCTCTCTCTATTTGTTTGAAATAAATGAATCTCGTGTATTTCGTGTATTTCTGGACCATGGATCCCTCAGGGAAAGATAAATTTCATTTTTCAGCTGTATGAAATAAAGAGTATTGGGTTTGTACCTCACTATTTGGTTGAAATATGAATGTTATTAAAAGTATTAAATGCAGGATAGCTCGAATAAGAAATATTTATATGAAGAAATTTTTATGTGATAAATGTTGTTTGGGAATTTTATACAGTTACCATTTTATACAGTTCGAGCATCGTGAATCACCAGTCATATAGTTTATAAGCTCTTTCTGTTTCTCCTGAACTATTGCTGTCGCTGGTAGTCTCTAGCCTCGTAGTCTCTGTTACTCACAGATTCTGTTGGTATTGGAAACTTTAAGTTTGTGATGCTTGTGATAGTACAATTTTACTTAGTAAAAAATTCATAATACAATTTATACTAAGAAATACAATAAAACTAAATATTTGCATATATTATTATAAATTTATCAACTTCAGTAATACACATTATAACATAAATTTAGTTCAAATTTATTCTTATATAAAGTTCGGACTCATTTCTTATCGTCCAGAAGAAAGCCACCTTCAAGCTGGCGTCTGTCTGGGAGGAGTCACAAAACAAGGGCCGGGAGGAAGGACTCGGGTAAATACTTCATCTAGCGTCATCCCATTACCTTCCTTCGGTAGACCGCCTACATGTCCGCCTCGGAGATCATTGGATCGAGATTACCTGGCTTCCAATTTTCCCAGCAGACTTTCCGGATCTTATTTTTACGAGATTGAAGGTAGCCACACTGCTGATAACCGAATTCTGTGTCCTTGTATGGCGTGGGACGCTGGAGAGATTCTTGTTCAGTTATCAGGAGGCAATCTGGTTCGGGGTCCTCGCGAGGAGTGGGGGTTATTACAGGCGAAACCTGCAAAGTTTGGGTCAAAGGTTCTCGTTAATGCTCCAGTAACAACGAGGAGGTTTGGTCAAAGGTTCCCGCTAATGTTTCAGTTGCGTCGAGAGAAGACGAGCTTACTTTAATTACAGGATACTTCAAGGAAAATTTTGCGGACTGAACATGTTTATCCTTTTGCTAAGAAATATTTTTTATTTATATTATTGACAGTTATTTGGTGTCTGTGTGCAGTTACTGTTCATTAGACAATTGGGAAAGATATCTTTAGCATTATCCGTAAACATCAAAGATAGTTCAACAATCATGAAAAAATCAGTCGTCGTATTGAAGTATTTTGTCAAGTTTACGTACTTCCTATTAACTGGTGGACGAACGTAAAGGCTGTTCCATTCTGCACCCCCCCCCCTTCCATCGACCCCGACCCATCCCATATCACCATCCCCTCCCCTCCTTACCACACTCCTGCCAGTTGAAGCACATCACTTACAGACAACACATTTCTGCACTAAGCATATAATTGATTATCTCTTTTTTCTTAGCAACTTGCGAATTTATCTGCTCCGCGTCCCTGTGAATTGCTGTGGGTGCAGGCGAGAGTTCTATCTCGGGAGCAGCAAAACCGTGTTTCATCTCTGTAATCTTGTTTCAATCCTTTTTTACGCGCTCTTGCCCTCAGGTCCGACGAGGTCGGTGTGGGCGACAGAAGGGGGCGTGGCTGATCTCCCCTGTAATCTTACCTCGCCCCTGTCGGCTGACCCTGCTCTCCTGGTGCTGTGGTACAAGGATGGTATCTCTAAGCCCATTTACAGGTGGGTGTTTAAATGATCACTGTCTATCGAAGAAAGAAGTAGCTACTATACACGCGTTATTATTTCACCCTCTTACCTTCAGATTAAGATGAGATAGATAAGTAAAGGATATGGCTTTCGGCTTCGCTGTGAAATACACGGAAGCACACTTTTATGTTAATTATTCATAAATATATCGTTCTTACTGTCTCATAAATCGCATAAAGGATTAATAATTTACTCTCTCCGTACCCGACCCTGAAGCTACGACATGAGGAACAGCCCCGCCAGCCACTGGAGGAATCCTTCTCACTTCGACAACCGCGCCAACTTTCACACCGCCTCCCTCAGACTGCAGCGAGTTCACGCTGGCGATGAAGGAACCTACAGGTGCAGAGTGGATTTCCGCACCAACCCCACACTCACCTACACTACCAACCTCACCGTTATTGGTGAGTCATTTCACCCAACTTTTCTGACTCATATTTTCGTCATCAAGTTGAGGATATAATTTATTACAAGATATTACAGCGTCTAGAATGACTTTCTCAAATCTACAGGGATTCACAGCACTTGTACATGAAAAGATCAATGTGAGGGATGGTTTTAACCCACCCTAGTTAAGTGTTGCTTTGACCATTATGGTAGGCGAAAGTGAGGTATATATATAGGTTAGACAAAAACAATATTAATAAGCTATTATATGAGTTGTCTTGAAAACACCCACCTCAGTCAAGACGCTTGCCAGAAGCAGAACTAACAACTCGACCAGGGTCGGGGCATACACTGTATTAAGTACTTGCTGGGAGAAAGTACACGTATATGAAACTCTTAGGAACTTGGATGTGAGGATCAATATTACACCTACGAAGTTGTTATCAACAATACAGCTCGTATCACAATCAGGAGCAGCCTCTCATTAACTTTAGGAGAGCTAAATTCTAATGGAAGATGAATATATTATCAGAATACCTTGTACTGAGTCTACGGCCATCAAACACAATAACTCCACTGAACAGAATCAAGCAAAATTCGCCATTGCTACCTCATTGGCAAAAATTATTGCATGAACAAACATAAAATGAGACATACTCTCTGACCTGCCTCATCTTCACTACCCAGGCCTGCAAGCCATGTCTACTTTTAATAAGCCCTATGAGTATCCCTGATAGATTTGATAAAGACGTTGTAGCGACTTATTAATACATAATTTGCATTCGTCATTGTTTGACTTCATCGCTGTCAACCCTCTGTGATTTATTCAGGTACGTGTCTTGAGTTAGCAGAGGTTTGTTAAACTTATAATAAATCACTGAACTATATGTTTAACAGATATATAGCCCTGTCTATGGAGGACAGAAGAAAATGTACATATGCTGGTTATCATTGTATATATGTGGTCACGTCTGTGGTAGAAAAAGAAATGAAAAAGTGTCATACTGACTGTATAATCACTTTTCTCCCTGTCTCCAGTGTATATTAGACTCATACTAACCATTAACGCCCACTATCCCATTCTTATTTTATTTTATTTTATCTAATAACGCTCAATGTCGTCCCCATCCTGTCCCTCGCAGTCACCATTAAACCCCACTGTCATCACCATCCCTTCCCGCAATTGTACCTCCAAACCCCCTACTGTCATCACTATCCTCTCATTTAGTTCCGTCGCCCCTGAGATATGACATTTACCTTCGTCCGTCCGGCCTGGGAAGCATAAAAGCAATGTATATCACTTTTTCTCCGCTTTTTAATGAGCACGAGAGCGGCTCTGAACGTCATCAGGGCTTTTCATTTTCATTTTCCCGGAGCCATTAGCATCCTGCGTACACGGCTTATCTTACAGGGCTCTTCTCATTTGTAGACGCCATCTTTATACATAAATATGAAAGTGTGTTTGCTTATGTGTGTGTGTGTGTACTCACCTATTTGTACTCACCTATTTGTGCTTGCATGGTAGAGCTAGGCTCTTAACCCCGCCATTCCGAACGTTCATAGTTTAATGCAATGAATTTTCTCTTTTCCGACTTATTTAAATAATTAAGAGGTCTAATACTGAAGAAGTTCTTTATGACGTCGCTGTAACTCATTTATGTGGTCAGTTCCCCCTATGACCCCCTTATTCTGTTGTTCATAGATTTGAACTATGGTGATTTGTCTACTTTGCCTAATTTCACTTAGATTCTTACATGTTGTTATCATGTCCCGTCTATTTTTCCGCTCCTCCAGTGTGGTAAGATCCAGTTCTGTGTGTGTATGTATGTATACTTGTCTGGCTGAGCTTGTGTACTCACCTAGTTGTGCTTGGGGGGTTGAGCGCTTGCTCTTTGGTCCCGCCTCTTAACTGTCTATCAACTGATGTACAGATTCCTGAGCCTACTGGGCTCTATCATATCTACTTTTAAAACTGTGTATAGAGTCAGCCTCCACCACAACACTGCCTAATGCATTCCATCTGTTAACTACTCTGACACTGAAAATGTTATTTGTAAAGTCCCTGTGACTCATTTGGGTACTCAGTTTTCCCCTGTGTGTGTGCTTACGTGTGTTTGTCAACTGAACGTTTTAAAATCGTTTTATAGGAATTACGCCAAAATTGGCCTAAGCGTTAAGTGACAACAATATGAGTATATAAGTTTCTAGATACTGAACCCGGCAGTGCCCAGGTCTATCTACCCCCGTCGCCCTCTTCCCGTTCTTTATTACTTCCTCGCTCCTCCTTAGCCCGTTGTTTTTATATGCCACTCCATATGAAATCCATCCTTTTATGCCCTCCAGAACGTACCAACCTAAACATCCCACTAAGCTTATCGAATCCGATGCATAGAAGACATATTTTTGGAGCCGTTGCGTTACTAAGACCGACATCAACAGAGCTCGGACACTCACATATCCATTTATGTGTCATATTGGCAAATATTGAGTGAAACTAACCCCCAATTGTTTGGCCTCGTACAACGGACAGATGGACAGACAGACAGAGGTTCTTTTTATAGAGAAATAAGTTAAATGGTTTCGAGGCTCTCACGACCCAAACCCCCGGGGACCACCCTGAACCCCATACTGGCATTGGACCTTCAAGGATCCTCGAAATTAGAAGAATTAAGAATCTTTAGAAACCAGCGAGTCTGGCTCCTGGCTCATTGTTCGCCCATCCTCACTCTGGGGTAGTGTGGCAGGGGGTTATAATGAAGCAAGACTTTGCAGACGATCTACACCCGAGCATGGACTGGGTGTAAGACGCGTGTAGCGAGCACTCTAGATTATATATATATATATATATATATATATATATATATATATATATATATTATATATATATATATATATATATATATATATATATATATATATATATATATATAGGGAAAGTTGTGTGTGTGTAGGGAGTGTATACTTAGCACTGCGTATACATTGCATACTCTCTATATACACGGAAAATCTTGAATAATTTGGATGTTCACCCTGGCGTGCACAGTGAAGGTAATGTGTAGTGTAACTTGTGTATAGTGAGACTCGTGTGTGTGTGTGTGTGTGTGTGTGTAGTGAGGACTGTGTGTGTATAGATATAGTGTAGTGGCAGTACACTTTGAAGACGACTGTGGGTATATATGGAATATATATATACATATATGTGAGCATATATTTCATGTATATATATATATACACTCATATAAAAACCCATATAAATTCTTCCTTCAGGAGGCTGGGGCAGAATGGGGTAGATTATTCAGGTGGGACAGTGAATTATTACTTTGTTTAGCAAGCTATGAATTCATGAGTTGTTTACATAAGCGCGCGCGCGTGTGTGTGTGTGTTGCTTGTCAGTTCCTCCCCGGCGCCTTGAGATCTACACGGACCTAGGCGTGGTGGCCCGTAGTGTGGTGGGACCCTTCACTGAGGGTGACACCCTTCGCCTCACCTGCCGCGCCAGGGGAGGCTCGCCGCCCCCTAGAGTCACCTGGTGGGAGGGACCGACCCTGCTGGACCTCACGTCGGAGGTGCGGGAAGTGCAGGAGGTCAGTAACCTGCTGGTGGTCCCGGGACTCTCGCGAAAAGATCTACGACGCCCTTTCACCTGTCAGGCCGCCAACTCTAACTTCACAGGACCTCTCCTCGCTACAGTCACCCTCGATATGCACTGTAAGATTCCTTAATTACTTTATGTATGCAATAAACTGCCATAATTACTATAAACCTGAACTCTAACATGCCAATATCATTCTAGTTTGCTCAGTGCACTTAAAACTACAATAATTATCATTGATATATATTTTAAGATTCAAACAAGCTCTTTTAAATATTGTAAACATCTTAGATCTCTCCTTAAAGATCACCAAATACATACACTGTGAAATTAAATATAATATAGACTGCAGTAAGTAGCTTCATTATGTACTCTAATTACATAATTAAGAACCCTAATGACGCTACATATTTACTGCAAGAAAATAAATTGCACTATGCACAACTAATTACCCGGCTCAGCACACATGTTCACGTCAGATTGTATAATCACTTTTAATATGAACTTTCTGTTGTTTCACTCACACACGACGAGCAGTTTAAAATGACTTTCCTAAAACTGGATTGAGCATGAAATTTTACTGTTAATTTTAATAATTGTGTTTTTACCTGAGTTTTAAATTGTGCTGTAAGTAAAGCTTTGACTGTCAATGGTTTAAACTGGACCGAAAGTAAAGCTTCAATTCCCTCTGTTTATTCTTAGTGATGTATTAAACTTTATTTAGTACTTAATTTACTTTATTATTTGCTACTCGTTTTCCTGTCTGTTACTCGCCAGTTCCGCCGATGTGGGTTCGTCTGCTGAGCAGTAGGGATGCCTTGAGTGCTGGTTGGCCCTACAGTGTTGTGTGCCAGACCGCAGGTGCGAGGCCACCTGCCCACGTCACCTGGCACCTGGGCAAGACCAAGCTTACTACCCATACTGAGAAGGTGAGCCCCGTGTTCTTCATGCTTAAAGGCGAGGCATACTGGT